ATGCAGGGAGCCTAATTTACTACGCCATAAAAATCTCCAGCAAGCATGCAAAGAATGAGGAAGTACCTCATCAGTGTCACAAATGGACGGTGAAGCGACAGCTCCCCTAGTGGCCAGAATGCCCTTATGAAAAAAAGCTGGAATGTGAAATAGTCTCTGTGTGTGTCTATATATGTTGTATGTTTATGTCATTGAATGTTTGCCATGTATATGTACATTGTGATCCGCCCTTTGTCCCCTGCGGGGTGATGTTGTGGCTGAGATGTTCTGTGATGATAAGGATGATGGGATTCAGATTCCTGGCTCTTTTTCTGTGCCTCAGATCTCTGGGCCTGCGGCTCCCACAGACAGTGCAGAGTCAACATCAACACAGCAGTTCTCAGGAGAAAAAAAAATTAACGAAGGAGATAGCGAACAGGTGGGGAGGCATTTGCCTCCTTCCCCCGCTGATATTGAAAGTAGTGAAAGCCTTGATAGTGACCTGACCCGGCAAGCTCATCTTGATTTGCGGGTCAGGCGGAGAAGCCAGCTCGGTGAAAGGTCATCGCAATGATTTCATGTAATGTTTTCATGTTAGAATGGTATTTAGGCTTCTTGCAAACCAAGGGAAAGCGTCAGTTCAACGTAGCTTATTAGCCTGGAAGCTTCATGGAATAACTTTAGCCTGGAAAGCAATACGCTTGTGATTTCTTGCATTGTGATTCTTGGAGCAATTGTTTCATTGCTTGTACCTAGGACTCTGCTTTGAACTTTGCCAATAGGATTATGTCTCTTGCTTTTACCTGAAGATCTTTGGAACTATGTTCTGCATTTAACCTTAATCTTTGGAACTTTGCAATGGTTATTCTTTATTTTGACTTGGATTTTTTCCTCAATAAACTATAAAACTACAGCTCTTGGGCGGTGGTGTTTGGAAGCAACGTGAAGCTTACTCTGAGTTGCAATATAAATACTGTAAATAAATAAATAAATATCATAGAGCCATGGCAGGATTCTACAACATAGAGCCACACTGCATTCGTTCTATAGTGTAGATCAGGCATGGCAAACTTTGGCCCTCCAGGTGTTTTGGACTACAACTCCCACAATTCCTAACAGCCTACCGGCTGTTAGGAATTGTGGGAGTTGTAGTCCAAAACACCTGGAGGGCCAAAGTTTGCCCATGCCTGATGTAGATGCATCTATGGAGGTCTCTGACACTGTGCGGATGGGAAAGGAAATATGGATGCGCTCTTTCCTGCAACATCTCTGTTGCATTTGTTCCACTCCCCAAGGAAGCATTCCTTTTAGCACTTGCAAGCAGATGGAAATGCTTAAAGCCCACAGTCCTGGAGGAGCAGGCTTGCAATTGCAAACTGCTGGAAGACCAAATGCAATACCTTGAGACCTGTCTTTCTGCAAAGGGAGGGCGAAATGCCTTGAAATGAGGCTGGATGGCCATCTTTCGGGGGCTCTTTAGCAGTGCCTTCCTCCAGGGTCTGTCTAAGTCCAAGATCTTACGATTCTACACAACGATCCATAGGCAGCACCCATTTCAGCCTCCTGCCCAAATATTACCAAGATCTCTTTTGCATCTCCTTGCGCCTCCAGGCATATTTTAAGCCTAAGTCTCCTGAAAGGAGTGGCGTTAAAATATGCGCCTGGTTGATGCTTAATTTCCAAAAACCCAGTCAAATATTAGCTATTCCCGCTTATTTAAATAGCAGCCTTTTCATTAGCAGTCCGGGGCTGCCTGGGAAAAGACGGCCACGGATGTTTGCCTTCCCGGATTCAATCCAGAAGATGTGGCCGTGCATTTCCTCCTTCATTGACTCCATTTAGCCGCAGCAGAGGCAAGTTGCCCATCCAGACTGTGCCTTCAAGTCCACTGGAATTGGCTTAGGAATGGACCACTTTGCAACAGAAGGAATACATCTATTACCGTTGTGCTGGTATGGCTGTACCAGGAGCGCCAACTTTATTTTCTTTCTGTTATCTGTTTGCAGCCATAGGGCAGGCCTCCTGTCCATCATAATTAAGCTTTGCTTCCGCCCCTTGTTCAGGGCTCTGGGAGGGAAAGGAGCCATTTTTTGGGCAGTCTCACATAAGGAAGCTAAACTATAGGACGCAGACCAGCTCGTCCCGTAGAAAAGCTGCTTTTCTCAAGAACATCCGGGGAAACAGAAACAGAAATTCCAGGGAAAGGTCCCAAGGCTCTGGCTGAGAGCTCACAGCCTCTCAGCCTCACAGGTATCAGAGGAAAAACAGCCCTGAAGTTTTCTAAGAATTCTCTGAGGGAGGGACAGCACTACAGATCCATGGAACTCTATCTGAAATGTCTACAAGCCTCGGCTGGTAGGTCTACTCGATACCCAGACACATTTGGAATCGGTAGTAGGACCCACACCAACGAGGCATAGATAGTAATCAGCCTGGGAGAGGTTAAAAAGGGTTTTTTCCTACAGAGAAAGTTCAGTCAGGTACCAGTCCATTGAGGACTAGACTAAGAAAGCCTTGAAGTGTTGTTTGAACCATTGAAGATTTGTTGTTTGTTCCATAATAAAGACTTTGTTGTATCATTAAGGACTCTAAAGACCATCACTTCAGAAAAATCCCTGAGGACCTCTCTTTGAGGCGCCCCTGGCTTTCCGCTGGGCTTAAAGTATATGTCCTATAGAAAAGTACAGCTGTTACAGGCCCAGCACGGGACAGAACAACCATCACGACTCCTTAGAAGTCATGCCATAAAAGTCAACATGGGACATACAAATGTTAGATGTCTTCTACATATTTGTGTATGCAATATGTAACACATGCATACATATTTCACTTTTATTATGGAAACAGATTGAGATATACATATAGATATATGATTAGTTGGTTGGTCCCACAGAGGCTCCTCCATGGCTTGATGGATCTGGACCACCAGTCGGGAGGGATTGGATGGTGTTAGGGATTTCTCATCTTCGGAGGAGGAAGGGGAGCAGGGAAGTGCTCAGGAATTGGAGGGAGAAAAAGAATCAGACGATGAGGGTTTGAAAGTGCCCACATTTCTACAGAGACGAAAAGAGACAGAGCACAGACGGCGTTCAGCTAGAATAGCTGCTAAAAACGCTGAGCTAATTGGGAGACGCCCTAGCACCTCCTGCGTGGGGAATTCAGGGCTATAAATCAGTAGCAGGAGCAGTCAGTTTTTGCTGGTAACAACGACTCTGATACTGATGTTTTCACTCCAATGGAATCTGCTTTGTGTCTGCTGCTAGGAACGTAGTTCATTGTTTGTTGTCTGAGGGAAGACTGGTGTTTCTTTTGGGACTTTGTAAGATTGGGAAGACCATCCTGATGGCAAGAGTTGTTTCCCAGTGGAATTCCCACTGCCTGGGAGTGCAGTGGAGTCTCCTTCTCCGGAGGTTTTGAAACAGAGGCTGGATGGCCATCTGTCAGGAGGGCTTGAATAGTGTCTTCCAACCTGGAAGAAGACAGTTGGACCAGAGCGTTTCGGGGCCTCTTCCAATGTCGAGCAGAATATAGACTGACTTCAGAATCTTCTTTTCTGGAGGTTTGCAAGTCTGGATGGCCATCTGTTCATAGAATCATAGAATCCTAGAGTTGAAAGAGACCTCATGGGCCATCCAGTCCAATCCCATTCTGCCAAGCAGGAAAACTGCATTCAAAGCAGCCCTGACAGATGGCCATCCAGACTCTGTTTAAAAGCCTCCAAAGAAGGAGCATCCACCACGCTCCGGGGCAGAGAGTTCCACTGCTGAACAGCTCTCACAGTCAGGAAGTTCTTCCTTATGTTCAGGTGGAATCTCCTTTCTTGTAGTTTGAAGCCATTGCTCCATTGTGTCCTAGTCTCCAGGGCAGCAGAAAACAAGCTTGCTCCCTCCTCCCTAGGACTTCTCCTCATATATTTATACATGGCCCTCATCATGTCTCATCTCAGCCTTCTCTGCTTCAGGCTAAATATGCCCAGCTCTTTAAGCTGCTCCTCATAGGGCTTGTTCTCCAGACCCTTGATAATTTTAGTCTCCCTCGTCTGGACACATTCCAGCTTGTCAACCTCTCCCTTCAATTGTGGTGCCCAGAATTGGACACAATATTCCAGGTGTGGTCTAACCAAAGCGGAATAGAGCATGGGGAGCAGGACTTCCCTGGATCTAGGCACTATACTCCTATTCATGCAGGCCAAAATCCCATTGGCTTTTTTTGCCGCAGCATCACATTTTTGGCTCACATTTAACTTGTTGTTCACAAGGACTCCAAGATCTGGGTTGTTGTAGGTTTTTCGGGCTATATGGCCATGTTCTAGAGGCATTCTCTTCTGACGTTTCGCCTGCATCTATGGCAAGCATCCTCACTACCTCTGAGGATGCTTGCCATAGATGCAGGCGAAATATCAGGAGGGAATGCCTCTAGAACAAGGCCATGAAAGCCTTCGACAATACATTAACTCAAGGATTTTTTTCACATGTACTGTTGGGAGTACTTGGATTGTGTTTTCCTTTATGGCAGAAGGGGGTTGGACTGGATGGCCTTTGGGAGCCCCTTCCAACTACACAGTTTTATATTCCATCATTGGAGGTGTTTAGGCATAGCAGAGACTGGATGGCCTTTGCCAGGGGTGCTTGGACTGCACAATCCAGCATGGTGGTAGGCAACTAGACTAGATGGCCTTTGGAGGTCCCTTCCAACCTTATGATCCTATGCTTCCCTGGCCACTGAATCCCCTTTGGAAAGAGGTGAGTTTTATACTCCTCACCACCCCAGAGAGAGATAGCCCTGTTTCTGGGGTGAGAGAATAAAAATCAAACGTGATAGATTTTTTGAAAAGGGTGGAAAGGTTGACAGGTGAACCTGGTGCAAGAAATACCTGGCGCGGCTGTGATTTGGCATTTCCCATACACACACATGAACCCAAAGCAAAACCACTGCCTGCATGTGCCATAGGGACATGAAACAAGCAAGGCACGTGATTCATAACCAGGATGCAAAAGGAAATACAGGTGGAGGGAACTCACTGTAGTCACTGTTTTCGTCCTTGGTCCCATCAATCGTCCCGTCGGGGTGCATCTGCAGGAAGAACTCCTGCTGGCTGAATAACCTTGTCACGATTCCTTTCAGCTGGGGTTCTGCAAGCGAGGAAGGAAAAAGGAAAGCTATGTTCACTCTCTGCCTTTGTAGGTGACTTCACAACATTTCACAGGTGGAAATCAGAACAAGTGCAGACAAGGTTGCCACCTGCACTGGAGGATTAAGGCAGTTCGACACCACTTTTAACTGTGGAATCAAGGGGAGTTGTAGTCCTGTATGGGTTTTCCCCCTTCCCTGCCAAAAAGTGCCAGCCCTTAGTAACATAACTTAATAACATAACATAACAACAACAGCCACAACAACAATGTGGCCCTTAGACCTGGGTAAATGGGAGTCATAGTCCAACTTTTGTCTCCTTGTGGAGAGACAAAGCAGGGTATAAATAAACATAACAACAACCACCATCACCACCACAACAACAATGTGACCCTTAGACCTGGGTAAATGGGAGACACAGTCCAACTTGAGTCTCCTTGTGGAGAGGAAGGCAGGGTATATACATAACAACAACAAAAACAACAACAACAACAACAACAACAACTTGGCCTTTAGTTCTGGGTAAATGGGAGTCATAGTCCTTGTGGAGAGAAAAGCAGGGTATAAATAAACATAACAACAACAACAATGTGGCCCTTAGACCTGGGCAAATGGGAGTCATAGTCCAACTTGAGACTCCTTGTGGAGAGGAACGGCAGGGTATAAACCTAACAATAACAACAGCAACAGCAACAACAACAACAACAACAACGTGGCCCTTAGTCTTGGGTAAATGGGAGACATAGACCAACTTGAGTCTCCTTGTGGAGAGGAAAGGCAGGGTATAAACATAACAATAACATCATCGACGACAACAACAAGTTAGCCCTTAGTCCTGGGTAAATGGGAGACATAGTCCAACTTGAATCTCCTTGTGGAGAGGAAAGGCAGGGTACAAATATAACAGCAATATCATCATCATCATCATCAACAGCAGCAACAACTTGGCCCTTAGTCCTGGGTAAATGGGAGACATAGTCCAACTTGAGTCTCCTTGTGGAGAGGACAGCCAAGGTATAAACATAACAGCAATAACAACATAATCAACAACAACAACTTGGCCCTTAGTCGTCGGCAAATGGGAGTCATTGTCCAACTTGAGTCTCCTTGTGGAGAGACAAAGCAGGGTAACAATAAACGTAACCACCACCACCACAACAACAATGTGGCCCTTAGACCTGGGTAAATGGGAGACATAGTCCATCTTGAGTCTCCTTGTGGAGAGAGGAAAGGCATGGTATAAACATAACAACAATAACATCATCATCAACAATAATAACAACAACTTGGCCCTTCATCCTGGGCAAATGGGTGTCATCGTCCAACTTGAGTCTCCTTGTGGAGATAAAAAGCGGGGTATAAATAAACACAACAACAACTTGGCCCTTAGTCCTGGATAAATGGAATCAAAAGGTGCATCTACTCAGTAGAATGAATGCAGCTTGACACCACTTTGATGGCTATGGCTCAATGCAATGGAATCCTAGGAGTTGCAGTTTCACAATGTCTTGAGTCTTCTTTGCCAAAGAGTGCTGGAGCCCCTCCAATCTACAACTCTCAGGATCCCATAGCATCAAGCATTGAGTTTAAGTGGGACCAGACTGGATTAATTCTGCAGAGGGAGAGGCTGCAGTGGTTTGCTGATTCCTAAACCAACTGGGAAGGACAAAATTATCTCAGCTCCTGAAGTCAAACATTACTCCCCCCCCCCATAAGAGATAGTAATTTATAGTTTTGCTAAGGGCAAGGATGCCAGGATGGATAATAAGGGTTAACCATTGGTCAGTTTGGTGCGTCTCATTTAATCAAGGCTTTATGCCCTATTTTCATATGTTTAAAGCAGAAGGTAACCAATTTATTACTGAAAATCATGCCACAAAAGTATTTGAATTTTTCCATCTGAGGCACACCTGGGATCCTGATGGTCCCCCATCTCACAAACAAGCAGGGGCGGCTCATCCATTATGCGAAGTAAGCGGTCGAAGAACACTTTTTTTTGCCAGGGGCGCAGAGGCGAATCTGTAAATGCCCCTCGACCGCCACTTGAGGAGCGCCCCCTCAGCTCACAACAGCCCTAGCAGTCTGGGGGGAGCCTCGGCTTTCTTGCCTCGCTGCCGGGCGATCCTCTTCCCAAAGGGGCTGGGCCCTTGAGCCTCGCCTAGCCCCTCTCGTTCCTGCTCCACCCGGCCACTGGGTGCGCGAGCAGAGCCGGTGCTCAATCGTTCTCCGCGTTCGATCCCTTCCCCATGACCGGCTCCCTTTCCCGATCCCCCGGCGCTCCACCCGCCTCCTCTCCTCTCCCCAATCCGCGGGTGGGCCAAGGGGCGGAGCTGCCGCGCCTGGCCCGCTTCGGGTCCGGAGTGTCTGAAGACCCCAGCGTGCGCACCAAAAGTTGCCTCTTCTCCTGACTTTCTCTTCAGCCATTGGGACAGAGAGAGAGAGAGAGAGAGAGCCCCTCCGGCTGGAGGTATCTCTCATCTCCGCTCCCTCCTTTGTTTTTGCACCTACCTTCAGGAAAGGTGGGCATCTCCACCTCTCTTTCTCTCTCTCTCAATGGCTGCGGGGAAAGTCAGGAGAAGAGGTGACTTTTGGTGCACACATCGGGGTCTTCAGGCATGCCTCCGGACCCAAAGCGGGCCAGGCAAGGGAGCAAGTGCGGCAAGTGCAGTTACTGGAATGTATAGTTCACCTACAATCAAAGAGCATTCTGAACTCCACCAATGATGGAATTGAACCAAATATGGCACACAGAACTCCCACGACGAACAGAAAATATATATCAATGATTGGTTGGGGGGGGGGCGCCAAAATACTGTTTGCTTACCGTTGAAAATTACCTAGGGCTGCCTCTGCAAACAAGGGACTCTCTTTCCCCCTCATCAACTTTTCCCTTTATGGACTATGGACTTATGATATATTTTCATGATTTTCCTTGTGGCTGAGGTTTCCTTCTTGAGCTTTTTCTCCCCTTTCCCTACGATGAAATCCCACCAGGAAGTGCCCCCAATACTGAAAGGGTGCAGAGCCTAAATCAATCACAAAGAACTCTTATCAACAAATCTTTTGCATGGACAGAAACAAAGGCGACATCCTTGCCCTCGGAGTTTCGCCCAGCAAGGAGGTCGCCCTTGGCAGACTTTGATTACTTTTTTAATTGGAGATGGGGGGCACCTTCGAAAAGATGGGGGGCACCTTTCCGCCTTGTTGCCACATTCAATCATTCATCAAAAACTTCACCCAGTATTGCCCCTTTTGTCCTTCTGTTTTGCCGCCACAGAAAGCCCAGATTTTCCTGTTTGTATTCAATTATCACCATTCATGAATCAACAGAACTGCTTGATTAGAAAGCCCTTCTTGGGACTCATTAAGCCACTGGCATTTCCTTACTTCATAATCCATTCAAGTATACATTGTTTTTCCCTTGTCCCGCCTCTCTCCCTCCTGATTCGTCGAGACGCCAGAGCGGTAGAAGCCTTTTCATTGGCCCTGACACACTGCAGCGGCTCCCTGATTAGTCCAGGTGCGCCAGGGGCGGACGAGCCCCCTCCCAGCTGTTGGTACGTCAGCCAATCACAATGAAGACCGGCCGGGGGGTGGGCGCCGGAGATTTGAACCATACAACTCTGTATTTCTATAAAAATAGCATTTATTTCTGTAACCACATGCTCTGCTTAGCGAATGATTGCTGCATTGCATCCTTTTCAGCTGAATCGGAAATAAAACATCTCGGTGGCGCTTCGTTCAACTTGGTGAGACCTTTTATTGGGAAAAATCAGGGATTGGGTGCTTCTCTGTCTCGCCAGGGTAACGAACTCTTTAAAGAGTCTGATTGGTCTCTGCCTCCTGGCAAAGACCCCTAAATTCAAGCTCTATAACACTCCTAGAATTAATGGAATGCAAACTGGTGCATTTCGAAGTCCAGTCTGCAGCAAATGGAGATAGCCGAGGAAGGAGGAGAAAGGAGAGAGAAACCAGGATGTTTTAACAGCAGCGAGAAAAGTGGATGAATTACGATGCTCCCTGCAAATCACAGGGTGCATCGACACTGCAGAATAAATGTGGTTTTACCTCCTGGCTCAGTGCTATGGAATCCTGGGAGTTGCAGTTTGGGGAGGCACCTCCATTATTTGGCAGACCTTGCAAAACTACATCTCCCAGGATTTCAGAGTATCGAGGCATGGCAGATAAAGTGACGCCAAACTGTGTCAATTCTGCAGTACAGACGCTTCCTGAGACAGGCAGAAGGAAGGAAGGATTGCGGGGCGTGTGCCTCTTCCCAGTTCCAAAGCTGCTGGCTATTAGCATTTTCATTCACTTGCAAATATGAAGAAGAAAGAAGGAATCCCCAAAGCTTCCACATATATTTGCATTTTAAAAGCCATACTTGAATTGCTTTGGCCCCGACTAATGCAGAAATAATTGGAGAGGGAAAGGGGGGGGGGGGGGGGGGGGGGGGGGGGGCGTGCAAAGGTATCATTATGCCAAATGGGTCTCCAGCTCCGGTTCTCTTTCCAGCATTTCTCCCATTCCTTTGCACACACGGAGCCAAACATTTGGAAATAGTTCTCCAAAAGTATAGAAAGCACCAAAACAATACAAGAGAATAGGTTTTCATAATAGATCAGACTAAGACACCACCTATATTTTGCCATATAATGCAGTTTGATTGCACTGCACCACATTACATGGCTGCGTAGACTCATACGAGGGTTGAATGAAAAGTAATGCCTCAATCTTCGTTACTTGGGTTTGGATGGGAATATTTTAATAAATCAAATGCAGAAATAATCCTTAGAATGTGTTCTTTAACTACCACTATTCACTTTTTGACATAATCACCAGACAATTGGATACATTTCTGCCAAGAATGAATAAGTTTTCTGAAGCTGTCAACACTCTTGTTTCTGCAACCCATCATGCACAGATCTTCCGATAGCCAAGCAAAGCAATGTGACCCACACATTCTTGTGAAATGCCGATTATGCTTGAAATTTCTCTCTGA